TCGCAAACTTTAGAATGATGTCTTTGTGGGAGGCGACACAGTCGTGGGTGAACAGGGTGTAGAGGATGGGACTGAGGACACATCCCTGTGGGGTGCCAGTGTTTGTAACAATGCTGGCTGAAGTCCTATTGCCAATCCTGACAGTCTGGGGCCTGCCAGTCAGAAAGTCCAGGAGCCAGTCACAGAGGGTGGGGTGCAGACCCAGTGTGGACAGTTTGTGGGTGAGTTTGTGGGGGACAACTGTGTTGAAGGTGGAGCTGTAGTCAATGAAGAGTATCCTGATGTAGGAGTCTCCATTTTCCAGGTGAGAAAGGGAATAGTGGAGGGCAGCTGCGATGGCGTCTGAGGTGGCCCTGTTGGGCCGGTAGGTATACTGCAGAATAATGGTTTTCAAACATAAATTTCTCTTCCTTGTCATTCCCAAAATACAGTATGTTAGGTTGTCCGTGTTCAATATTGGTTGTATTCAGTGATACCTGATTTAATCTTAGCCAGACCGCTTTAGGGCTGTCACTTCTCCCAAAAATTGTGTTTGAACGGTGTTCGAACTGACACACAATTCATTAGAATTAATTTGGATGCAACCCACATAATGTAATGCATCTGCTTTTGTGCAGAGTTGGCAAACTGTGTTACACTGTATCTACAGTGTAAAACCCAAAATACTGCCACACAGGGGAGATGCTCTGATGCTGTTAAATGTCCGATCAGAACAACTTGACTCGCTACTATCTGTCAAACATAATGTTGTTAGCTTGTTTTACTGAGAGCTTATAAGTGGGCAAGCTGATAGTGAATTTTAAGAACGTCCTCTGGGTGAGTGAACAGGATCATTTTTGTTGTTCTAAGTTCGTTTTTGGAATTTTCTGTTCACTCACCTTCTTTTCAGTAATTTATGATCTTTCATTGCTAATGGGGCAAGAAAGACACCTGAGAAGGCTGTAGTGTAGGAACAAAGTTGGCTTTAAGCCAACAGTGGTAGTTATAGCCTCTATTTAGGATGAAGGGCATGACCCACAGAGGGTTGGTTTGTTTTGTTTCTCTAATGTTATATTAGTCCTACTTCCTTCTTCTTCTCCAGGTTGAGCAATATAGTGCAGCATCAGTTCAAGTAAGAATATTACAATGATTTTGAATATGCTTTACCTAAAAGCCATCCGTTTTCATTTTCAGTTATGGCATTAATGTTCTTTATTTCCTTAGTCAACCCCCTGAAGCCAAAATACATCTGTTTTTGTTTTTTTGCCCCTCAAACCTAAACAGAAGTGAGTGATGTCAGTTGTGTGTGGCATTATTAACTTTTAATCCAACCCCTCTTACACCAGTCAGGGACTCATGGGAGCATGACCTGAGGGTTTGCCTTGTCAAATGATCAATGGATTAAAATCTTAGGGTTGTTTCATTCTTCATCTGTATGCGCCCGACACGGCCTATTGCAGTGCAGGGTGCTTCATAAAACACATCTTACCAATCAAAACGAGCCAAAATATGAGGTTTGTCAGAGACATAGGCTGTCCCCAGCTGACGGCTCACATGTTCTGGACATAACACTACTATTGAACCTAATCCTTTGACAGCTCTTTTGTCTGTCACACTGCAACACGCCATTGCCTTTACTACTTGTCTGGCCCACAGAATTATACTGCTCAAATGGAAATATGCTTTGCAGATATTTTTTGTTTTGGGGGCAGACACATGTAGTGATGAGTTAAAGCATTACAGAGGGTTATAAAAACCAAAACATTCCTCCTTCAGAAATGTTCAGTCCTTGTAATGTTCATTAGTCATTTTTCATGAGTCCGAGCCAAGTCTCAAGAGAATTAGCAGGGAGTTGCAGGTCAAATCGGAGGTTTGTTTTAGTACCACTCGAGTGCAAATCCATTACAGTGACCAACTTGAGTACCCATCTCTGCAGTTTAGGGCCTCAGCGGTGTTCACACCAGAACTGGACACATGTCACTGACAAACATGTGAGCCATCAATACAAAAAAATTGCATCTGACCAAAAAAAAAAAAAAAAAAAA